TAAAATCATTGGGAAAAATTTACAATGTGTTTTGAGAAGGGATTGAAATTCTCTCTATATTTTATTTATTAGTCAACAAATTCTCATGCAGATAGAATATATCTGGATCTTCGCAAACTCATGTCCCCTAGGTTTCTTTTTTTTAATCCATTTTCATTTAAATTAAAAACAATCTTATTTTACAACTAATCTCAGTTCCCTCTCCCTCCAGTCCTCCGATGATCCCCACCAACTCCATCGCACCCACCATCTGCTCCCCATGGAGGGACTTCCCCCTGAGGGATTATCAAAGTCTGTCACATCATTTGGGGCAGGAGCTAGGCCCTCTCCTTTGTATCTAGGCTGAGATATAGGGAATGGGACCCCAAATACCATTTGTTGACTAAGGATAAACATTGGTTCCACTGCTAGAGGCACTATACACTTCCCAAACCTCCCAGCTGACACCCATGGTCTGGAGACCTGGTTCACTCTCATGCTAGTTCCCCAGCTGTCAGACTGGGGACCATGAGCTCCCACTTGTTCAAGTCAGGTGTTTCTGTGGATTTTTCCAGCACGGTCTTGACCCCTTTGCTCCCTCTCTACAACTGAATTCCAGGAATTCAGTTCAGTGCATAGCACCCCAAAAGTGCCAGATCTCATCCCCTAGGTTTAAGTATTGGCTTTTATTATTTTCTTTAAACTTGGGCATAATTCACATATTTTGTAAAGAACAATATATTATCCTATCTGTCTTTCCTGGCTAGAATGCATCCTGTATTCCAGCCAAGATGATGGTCACCATGTATTCTTGCTTCTTTTACCAGAGAGGAGCATTAGAATGTACTTTTTAATTAAGTTTCTGGTTACTGTCTATAAACTGAGCACTTGAAAAGGCGAGGCTGGAACATGGTTATGAAATTACAAATGACCCTGACCTATTAATTGTGTTCTAAGTTTGCCTAGGCACGGAGTTAGATTATGGCTTAAAATATATAAAGGAAAATACAGGACAGAATAAAAAATGCAACACAGTATGCCTCAAAAACAAAGCCCTTTAGAATATATCTGGAAACAACATTGTCTGGTTGCCTTGGGATTATTTAGGGCTCTCATGATGCTAAATCCAGGCAACTGTCAGATAGGCATTCTGTGTGGACGTACTTATACACTGTATATTTACATTAGATTAAATATGAATGCTGACTTCTAATCATTCATGATATGAACAAATCAAGCACCGAGTTAATTGTTATGCACGTTAATTTTCAGTAACTTTCCACAGCACTTGTATGGAATTTGGTTGCATTAACTCAATCATGTGTGGCAAAAACATGTTCAAAGTGGTAACAAAATCATTCTTTATGGGCCCAAAGGAAACATCTTTACTAAGTAATACAGAGTTATAACATATCTAGTTCCCATTTTGTTTGATTCTTAATCTATTTACTGAATGTTCCAGTTCACATCTTTATTTTCACCACTGCATTTTGTTTTGTTCCCCATATGACTACAGTTACACAAACACACACAGAGACACCCAGATACATACACTTCTTTACCTGATTTTGTTCCTGGGATCACCAAACCTACTTATTTTTGAAAATGTATGCTCACATAATTTATAACTCATTTTATAACTTTCTCTAAGATTTTTTAAGTCTAATAGAAGTTTAATAAAATGAGGCAAAATAATTAAGGCACAATCTATGAACGTATATAAATTTAATATAAGACCATATTATTTCATGTGCATTAGGCATGGAAGGACAAGAATTTAAATACTTTAAACATTCTTTTTAGAATATCAGCCATTACAAAGTAACATAAAATCGAAACAATAGGATTATATCTTTTCCAGACAAACTCCAATATTGATTTTTATTTCTGAGTTTCATTTTAATTATGTATATACTTATACAGCTATTTCTAATATATAGAACACTATATACTGAAAATTATAGAAGTCAGAGTATACATAATAACTTGATCAAAATAAAAGTAATATCTTTTGAGCATCTTTTGTTGGTATTTGATGCCCCCAATTTTATGAAAACCTAAGTCTTGTTTTATAGTTTTCCCCATTATTTTCTTTCTAACAAGTGGGCTGAGAATACAACAGGATTCAACACAAGTTTGCATAGGACAGAAAGAAGGTAACTTCTGGGGTCAACACTGTTTCTTAGGAACACAGCTGACCACGTGCACTGTGATATATACAAAACAAAAATCAGTTACTGTTTCACAAACAGCAATGTGTAGGCTGATCAGGCCAATCCCACCACATTTCCTTCTGTCCAAAACAAACACAGAGACATATATTAATTAAAAACTGTTTGGCCAAAGGCTCAAGCTTCTTATTGGCTAGCTCTCTCTTAATTATTAACCCATTTCTATTAACTTGTCAAACTCCACATGGTCTTGGCTTACTGGACCATAACAGGGCCTCCTGTCTTCCTGGTAATTACATCGTGTTTGTCTGGAGCCTCACATTCTGTGTTCTCCTCCTCCAATTCTAGTCTGGTAGTTCCACTTATGCTTCCTGTCACTCTACATACTGCCTGTCCATTGGCCGAAACATGATTATTCATTAACCAATAAGAGAAAGATATATTTACAGCATACAGAAGGACATCCCCATCTTATCCTCCTTTCTGTATAAAAGAAAGGTTTTAACTTTAACATAGTATAATTATATATATGTATATATAATTGTGTATATACATATGTATGTATATAATTATGAAGCAAGAATTTTATACTTAATGATATTTAATCCATTAACATGGCTAAATTTAAAGAAAATATTTTATCATCTATCCTATCTTTGTGAGTCTAAAGTTTTGTATATAACTTATCTTTTATCATAACTAAGGAAAATCATAGCCATAATTATCTATCTTCAACCCCATGGAAGACTCCAGAAGGATAATATATAAACTCTAGTATTGACAGAGACATCTCACTGCCTGGACAGTCACCCAAAATTCCTCTGTAACATTGGGGCATCCCTCTTCAGCCTATAGGCCCAGACTGTCTGGCAGACTTTTTGATGAACTTGAAGGACAGCAGTCACATTTCTTAGTAACCTAGTTTTCCCTGTTTGGATAGAGTGCTGTCAACCAGTCCAGCCAAGAGCAGTTTTATGTCCAAATGGCTATCCCTTCCATGTTGAAAGCAAATATCATAATGAGTATCTTCAATCTCTATCTTCCTCTCTGAAGAAATTGGTGGAGCCAGAAGCAGTTGTCTCCTTGTCATGAAAAACCCTAATAAACCATTTTAACTGCCACATTTTGTAGGACGTTGAAAGGTTTTGTAGAATACCTATCCATTTTAAATATATCTCTGTATAACTAGAAAACTTAACTAATATGACTGTAAGTTTTGACTATTATAGGTGACTGTAATCTGTATTCAATTACTCATTAACATTTTTAAATGAGCTGTATAAACACAATACCTAAACAAAAGTAGAAATATACATATAACAAAACTGACCTTAAATTTGTATCAATAAACTAAAATTCATACCAATGCAAACTATTCATTTCTATACCACATTCCTTTTATCCCCTATGGAAAGAGATGGTGATTATTAACCATTTATAACCAACCCCATTTAAATGAAAACAAATATTTATAAACACAATTTGGGAAATTGGGCATAGTTCTCTTCAAACTGCTTCCTGCTGTTTGGGGGTGCTGTGAATACCATCTGAGAAAATCTAGAACCATGGCCAAATCCTGGCTGTTGTAGTCCTCAGGAATGCATCATCTCTGCTGTTTTGAATGTTGCATCACCAGTGTCACTGATTCAGAAATTGTTGCTTGATCAAACCATATTAATCTTGAAGGAATCCACAGCTTTTCATCTTCTGTGAAAACACAAGCAGAACATCTTTTCCAAAATAACATGTTCTTAAGACTTACATTTTAAGTAAAGGCATTTTCAAAATGTATAGGTTGGATTTATTGAGCAGCATTATAATCAAATGTCTTTTAGCAACTGTTGCTCTTTCCTCAGCAATCAAACAATTCACAGACAACACAATAACATACAGTATCCCGACTCTGTTTATTTTCCATCTTGCCATGGCTTTTTTTAAAAACTCCATTACTTTCAATTTTGCGACACAGGATTTCTCTGAATTTTTGGCTGTCCTGGAACTCACTCTAAACCAGGTTGGCTTTGAAACCAGACATCTGCCTGCCTCTAGAGGGGTTAAAGACATGTCCCACCACACCCACATACTCCCATGTCTTCTTTAAGGACTTTGTGTACTCTCTCAAGCCTACATATATTTTTGAACACAATGTAAACCATTTAGTTCTTTTTCCCTCTGAAACTGTTTTTTTTTTTCTTTTTTTTACTGTATATCTATATCATTTTTTTCTGACCACTTGATTCTTTAATCTGCTCAATTGAGTGGCTAGTATTAAAGGGTAGGTTATGGCTGCTGGCTCCAATAGATTAGGCTTTCCCACTAGGTGGAGGATACATTTACCTCCAGGCTCTGGGACTTGTGCTCAGGATCTCAACTCTGGTCTATGCCACCATCAAGCAGCTTGTAGCAGAGCCCAGAAAACTTTGTCAGTATGAGTGAAAGCTAAATCTGCCATGCAGCATGCTGTGTTGCAGGGAGACAGTCTCTGTGTATCACAGTGGGAATCTACCATGCAGTGATCAAGCTCTACTGCCACAGCATCTTTGCTCCATGGCCTGCATGAGACTGTGACACCAGGAAGCCCAATGCAGCTCTGTTTTTGTGTGTTCACAAACTTTTTCCAGCCTTTGTCAGGTTTTTCATGGAAAACCTTGCCAAACTCTTAGGCAGGTCTACCAGAGTAGGAGATGCCTGAGAAGAGGGAACACAGAGAGTGAGTCTCCAGGTAGATGCCATGTAGCTGCCAAAAAAGCAAGAGCATTGGGCATTATTGGTAATCCAAGACCATGTGAAGATACACAGATTAATAGAGTTAGCCAATAAGAAGCCTGAACGGCATGCCAAACAGTTTGCAACTAATATAAGCTTGTCTGTTTATTTGGGACTGTAGGGCACTGGGACAGGGCTGAACACAAACTTCCACCAATAGCAATGCCAAACTCATTCCAGTTTCTTTCCCCAGCAGGAGTTTTGAATAATACAATTTTATTCAATTTATTCATGATCAAAATAATAGCATATATTTTGGTGAATACAAAGTTTTTTTTGCAAGTAAACAAACTTCACTACACTAAGTTACTATATCTAATACACACATAACACACACATGAGATTGAGTATTATATCAATTATTGAGGTTGACTAATGCTGAATAAAACCTAGAAGCATACATAAATATGACAGCAGTGGAACTTTTGGTGTCCTTTGTGGTAGCATAAACATTTAAATAAAGTATTATGTGAAAGATATTCCTTTACACTGGAGGCAGGGTGGTGGTGGTTGTGGTGCTTGTCCTTTGCTTCCAGAGGGCTCTGATCTTCTGGTACAATATAGGTAAGAGTCACTCCCCAGAAGCCCTACACACACGAAGAGCCTTGTTGTGGGCCTTGTCCTTAGACAATCTTTTCCTTCAAGTCAAGGTAGAAGATCACATAGCCACCACTGACACTTTATCATATAACATGATTCCCTTCCCAAATTTTGGTTTAAATGTTAGTCTTAAGATCATATTATGATGAAAATATAAAACTGCATGCTACTGAATTAATGTTATATAACATCAAATGATTCATATACAGGCAGTGAGGGCTAACACAACATTTCTTTCTAAGCAAAGAAACAAAACTATGCACTACAAGTCACACTGCCTAAAGCTTATACCGTACCCTTCACCAAATATGCCTAGTCTAATTTAAAAACTCAGTATTTTGGACTAAATAGATAACAATATAATAAAATCTCTACATTTAGGTAAAAATAGGCACTTTAAAAATAATGAAGCTAAATGATTTTACATATGTAACTTTACTGACAAATTTATATCTACAATCACTCACATGGAAACTTAAAGAAAAAATTGTTTTTATGTAAATAGCAACTAGTAAATACTTGATTTGCAGGTTTTAAAAAAGGCAACCAAAATGTACACAATCACCAAGGTTAGCTGCTGTATTATAACCCAGGTACAAAATAACTACTCTCCAATAGGAACTCTGAGAAGAGCAAGACTGAAAGAAGCTACAACTTGTTGGCTCTGCTTCCCAGGGACTAAGGGAAAAGCAGGGTGGACACGATTATAACAACAGCAGTAATAAACTAGTGATAAGTTATTTAGATAATAACAGAAGGATACTTGGTGAATCAATTTAAGAACAATTTCTTATTACTCTACATGGCTTTATGACTTCTTTCCCTAACCTTTGCTGCTTTTAAAGATTTTTTTTAACATTCCAGCAAACAGCATCTTCTCTAATCTTCATTGAAACCCAGTAGTTCCAGTGTCTGTTAGAACTAGTCTTCAGTACTGTGCTACACTATTGAGAGTAGCCTTTATTTTTATTTATATCACCACAAATTACTCATATTTGGAGTAAATTTACAATAATTTCTTTTTAGTATTGGCAACAAAAAATTTACACATCAAGATCTTTAGAACAGGAGGAACTTTTGGAACAGTTCTAAGTAAAATCCTCAACTGGGCTCATGGTTTACACATGTGATTACAGCAGCTGGCAACCCAAGGTAAGAACATTACAAAAAGCCTGAGTTAACCACACGTTGAGTTCAAGGCTAGCCTTGCCCTGTCTCAGAAAAATCAAATAGCCATATTAAGAAGATTAACCCCTGCTGATTCTGAAACTCTTAATAGTCCATTAGCTGGATAAACAAGGGATTCATAACTAGTAAGACAGACTAGCTTTAAATATATTCTGCTGACTTCAGAACATGATCATATTTCTAGATGACAAATTCTTATCACACCAAGTTAATATCTATAATCAGTTTCTTAAAAAGGGAAAAGTTGGCAGCTTTTGTAAACAGTAAGGCTTAACATAGGTAAAAAAGTAAAAACAAAAACAACAAAAAAGGTAAAACTACCAAAGAAAAATTCTCTAAAATCTGTCTGTGCCAGAAGTGGACTGTAGCTTGCTCAGCATGTACAACACATACATCTATCTCTATAATCCCTATATCAGCTAAAAAAAAAAACTGATTTGGCACACTATTTAGCAACCTATTCACATACTTAAAGAGTAAGCTTAAAAAGCCACAATAATGATTTTTTTAAAAGAAAACAAAATAGGATACATGTATATTGCCACAGGCAGAAAAATTTACATTTATGGAAGATGAAAGAGTACTCCTCCTTTCTAGGAGGCGGGAAAGGGTATGTACGGTTAGATTCTCTATTTACAAGTAATTCCTAAAAGGCTACTCACTTTATTACTTAGGTCAAGGTAATTATCAATAAAGAAAGAACAGGAGTTAATCCAGGAGAAAACGGCCCCATCATTCTGAATGTTTTCCATGAAAACATTCTACGTTGCTTAACTAAAGTCATCTAATTACAAAATATTTACAGTTTGACACTTGGGTACTGCCCAAGATATCTGTGTCTTTCCTAATCTTGGAGTATGCAGCTATAGTCGCTCACTGGGTGAAAAAAAGAAAGACTTTATAACTACCACAATAATATTATGTTAATAGTAGAAACATCACTTCTATAAACACAGAAATAAACTCTCTACATAAGAAACATAATGATCTTACTATACTATTATGAGGAAAAGGTAAGGGGACTCACTATAGCAGCGTTTCACAACTGCAGTCATGAAACTCTCTGTTTCATGATGTAACACAAACACAAACAAAACCCTAAAATACCTATAGTCTACTAATATAATCTACTAAAGTAAAATAATATTTACAAGAAACCTAACATGCAAATATCCTCAGCACACAATTGGATTCTACCAAAGCATCCTTTAAGAGGCCACCTGATGACTAATTCATTCTGCAGCTAGCTTTAGAACTTACCAACCAGCCATCATGTTATTACAGATTAGTTATTTAATCATTAGTAGTGAGAGTTAAATATTTTGCAATGCCAAATTAATTTTAATATTAGATTTATTTCATAATCAATTAGTAATATTTGTTAATCTCCAATGACGTTAATGTGGGCTACTATTTTTCTCGTACACCTAAAGGAAACAACATTTTAATGTTGTCATTCCTGTTTTATCACTACTTCCATGTTAGTGCTCAATGGTTAAACCAACATTGTGAACTATGGTACTGTGAATGAACATAACGAGCTCTAATTCTGACTACCATCAACTGTCATGCAATCTAATTGTAGTTTGTCTTTCAGATTCAGAGGAAGTTTTGTTTTAGTATACAATACAAAGGAGACATATTTGACATTTAAAATCCAACCCGCCCAAACGCATCCCCACTTAGAGACAAGTTTTTATGTAAATAGTCCAGGATGGCCTCACGTGTAATATGTATGATGCCAAAGCTAACACTGAACACCTGATCTTCTGCCTCTACCTCCCTTGTGTTGGTATGCAGGTATTCACAACCCTGTACAACTTTCTCTCATTTAGTCCAATGTTACAAAGCAGCTTTTCTTAGATTACTTCCCATTCAGATTTTTCTATCAAGGAAAATTATTCTGTCTTTTGGCAAATAGATGGATCATGACTTTGGCCTCCCATTAATGTAAAAAGCATGATTACAAGAGATCATTAGGAAAGGGTATGTATGGTTAGATGCTCTATTTACAAGTAATTCCTAAAAGGCTACTCACTATATTACTTAGGTCAAGGTAATTTTCAATGAAGAAAGTACAGGATTTAATCCAGGAGAATATGGCCCCATCATTCTGAATGTTTTCCATGAAAACATTCTATGTTGCTTAACTAAAGTCATCTAATTACACAATATTTACAGTTTGACGTGGGTACAACCGCAGTCTGTGCCTTTCCCAATCATGGAGTAGGCAGCTTACAAGCTCATTGGCTGGGAAAAAAAGACTTTATGACCAGTATGAAGAAAATACACTAGTAGTAGAAACATAACTTCTTTAAACAGATGAATAAAATTTCTAAATGCAAAAGATAAAAATCAAACTTACTACCCTATTCTGAGGAAAAGGTAAGGGGACTCACTATAGCAGCGTTTCATAACTGCAGTCATGAAACTCTCTTGTTTCATGATGTAACACAAAATACAAAGACCCTGAATTACCCTATAGTCTACTAATATAAACTACTGAAAATAAACATAATATTTATAAGAAACCTAACATGAAAAAATCCTCAGCTTACAACTAAATTCTTCCTAAGAACCCTTTAAGAGCTCACCTCATGACCTAATTCAGTCTAAAACTACCTTTTGTACATAGCAACCAGCCTTCATGCTGTTACAGGTGGTACTGTAATCATCGTAGTGACAGTTAAATATTTTCTAATGCCAAATTATAATTTTAACATAAATTTTCATTGCGTAATCAATGAGTAAAATTTAATAAACTTCAATAACAATAATCTGAGCTACTATTTTCCTCTTACACCTTAAGGATACAGAAATTTAATGTATTCATTCCAGTTTTATCAGAATTGTTTCTTAGTGAACAATGCTTAAACCAAATTTGTGAATAATTCTGTTGAGAGTAGATATAATGAGCTATACTTCTGACAACCTTCAAATGTCATGTTACCTATTTGAAGTTTTTGCATTGTGTCAGGTTGTGGGTTGCTGTAAAAACATTTTTAGAATAAGCTTCCGTATCATTGCTAGGATTAATAAACTGAAACACATCACAACTAGAATGCATAATATTATAACAATCACACAAAACCAGAGCTGAAGCTTAGATATTCCATTTAAATGTGATAGTCTTAAATATACCAGTTAATTAGTCAGAGGCTGAAACCCAAGAAGACACAAGAAGGCTCATTCTATTCATGGCACAGTTTCCAGCCAAAGCAAAACAACTCAGGCAGTACAACTGTCAAGTTGTCTGGCTTTAGTCAAACCAATTGTCCCAGATGACACTACTGCTAGGCTGATTATAACTGCCCCTCTGAGTGTACCATGCTGCGAACTTTTCATCAAAGACTTAAGTGAAAGTGGTGACCAACCAGGTGAGATTTGAATTTCCATTCAGAATAAAGTATACTCAGAAATATAAACAAGGAACTGGACTCAGTCATGCAGAATGGATAAATGAAATGTAAAACCTTTCACAACATTGCACCTCTTACATGAACATTCAAGATGAAACCACTACACTTTCCACTAATCAATCTTCAAGGTCCATTTTCTTTTTTAATCATCTTTGCATAGTTCTAGTACTTTTCAACACCCACTTCTGATAACTACAAAGAACATTCTTCATTCTGTGTGCAACATAACTCCTTCATCTTCTGTGTCAGACTCTGACATGTGGAACGGTGTGAGGTTGAGCCCCAAGGCAAAGAGCATTCTGGAAAACACAAAAAATGTGTCAGTGGTGGTGGGGGGGTGATACATGCCACAGAAGTCCACAGACCTAAAATGTCTGACACAGCGCAGTAAAATAGACTTCTCCATATTTTGGGTTTGAGCAATTGCTGGCTAAACTCAAGTATCTACGGAGATTTTCAGGAAGATCATAGAGAGTGTAAGAAATACTTCTGGAAGGGCATATGGTAAATATCTAGGAAAATAAACAACCACTAAATTTCATCGACAAAGCAAATCTTACAGATAACTAAGGTTGAGGATCTCTAGAGGCAGGTATGTCAGCAAGTTATTGTGGGTATGCTCTGCAGCTGGTTGCCTCCCAGGTTAAGTATCTGCAGGGCTCCCCCCTCCAACAGCTAGGCAGGACCCTCCTGGAAGCAGTTGCCTGAAAGGTTGAGTACCTGGACAGAGTGGTGAGTGAGCCAGGAGAATGAGCAGCAAGCCTGTGTTGCAGAGCCAGTTGTTGCTGTCCATCAGCATGCATAGGCCGCTCTGAGTCAGCAGCTCTGGTCCCAGCGTCAGGATCGCATTCCAGCTCACATCCTGTAGCTGGAGGTGCGGAAAGCCAGCCGCTGCTCAGCGCCATGTCAGCGATGTCAGATGTTTGTAGAAGGACACGATAAATTGCTGCCCCGACAAAGGCTGGAGCGCCGAGGAGCTGCATCCCTAACTCCCCTCCAGCTCCGAAAGACTAGGGAGTGAGTCTAGGCACCATGCTGAGGAGGGAGCAGCTCAGAAGTCAGCTTCTCAGATCGTGGCCTCACCCAAGGACTGGATTCCCAGGGCTCTGCAAGCTGACACCGTGGCGCGCCCCGGAACCGGATGTGAGCTCTGTGTAGGAAGTGACTGGTCTAGGGGTCATTCTGCTGCTCGCTCACCACTCACTCTAAGATTTAAGAGAAACAGGAACTTCTATCATCCGATGGACAGAAAATGCGTTGAAATATTATGTAATATAAGATGAATGTAGCTGAGATTTTTGACAGATGATTAATTCATGTGTGAGGTTTAATATGTGGAGGACTCTTAGGTGCTTCTCATTTTGCACCACATGTATTAGGATCACAGGGCTAAGCAGAGACACTTTTCTGTTTCCTCAAATTTCAGTGCTTGTGAGGGAACTCAGAGGAGAAATTCAGAGATGGGACACAAGAAAACTAGAGGGTTTCAAATTGTTTGCTGCAGAGTGTTCTTAGGGATATACCAAAAGATTGCACATTCATATCACAAGGACATCTGTTCAACTGTGTTCATAGCAGTATTGTTTGTAACAGCCAAAACTTAGAAGCAACCCCGATGCATCTCAATCAAACAGTGGATAAAGAAAATTATATATATTACTCAGTGGTTAAAAAAAAAAATCAATGTTGAAATCTTTAGGCAAACAATGGAATTAGAAGAAATCGTCCTCAGTGAGGTAATCCAGACATAGAAATAAATTTAGGGTTACGTACTCACTCATAAGTGAATATTAGACATATAGCAAAGAATTACTAGCCTACAACCCTCAACCTTAGAGAAGCTAGGAAACAAGGAGGATCCTAACAGAGAAATGTACCACCCAAAAGAGGAAAGGGAAAAGATCTCCCTAGTAAATTAGGAGCCTGGGGGAAGGGGGAGGCAGGTATGATACAGAGGAGGGCAGAAGGGGAAGGAGGAGGAGGAGGCCATGAAGGATCATGAATGTTGAGCTGGGGTACGAACAGAGAAGGAAAGCAAGGAAAGAGATACCTTAATAGAGGGAGCAATTATGGGATTAACGATAAATCTGCCAATAGAAACATCTCCACAGACCTATAAGCATGAATCCAACTAAGAATCTAAGCAACAGAAGAGAGGTGACCTTAAATGCCCTTCCCCTATAATGAGACTGATGACTACCTTAAATAAAACCCTAGAGCCTTCATCTAGCATCTGATAGAAGCAGAAGCAGAGATCCACAGCTAAACACTGAGCCGAGGTCTTGGAATGCATTTGGAGACAGGGAGGAGAGATGAGCAAAGGTGTCAAGACCATGCTAGGGAAACCTACAGAAACAGCTGATTTGTGCAAGTGGGTAGCTCATGGCCCCCAGTCTGACAGCTGGGGAACCAGCATAAGACCGAATCAGGCCCCCTGAATGTAGGGGGTTCTGGGCAGATTATACACTGGCAGTGGAACCTGTTCTTATGCCTAGAGCATGAACTGATTTTTGAAACCAAGTCACTGTGGACTTGTTCAGCCTAGATAGGGGCGAGGTGCCTTGGTCCAACCTCCAATGATGTGACAGACTTTGCTCATTCCCCATGCTAGGCCTCACTCTCTCTGAGGAATGGATTTGGGGTGGGATGGGGAGATATTGGGGAGAGTGAGAGAATGGGGGTGAGAGGGAACTGGGACGGGTATGTAAAATAAAAAGAAAATCGCTTTTAATTTTAAAAAATTCAAACAACAACAACAAAACTACTAACATGTTGTAAGCTGTTTAAAATAATTAAGCCATACAGGTTAATGATCACTTACCTCACTAATGATCAAATTCTTTAATGTGATCAAAACTTTGCTTACTGTAGTAATAAATGCAAATTTAACTCACTTACAAACACAGTATTGAGCCTTTATATACTCTCCATGTTAACACCAAAGCAATCACATAAAACATACAAAGTTTGTTACATGGACAGTTCATCCTGCTGACAGGATTAACACTAAAGAATATAAACTAACAAAACAGGTGTCCATGAAAAACTTACCATCCCTTTATTTAAAGGAACTTGCTTAAATATAAATAAATAGGTAAATAAATAAATACATATCTCTGATTCTATTGAAACATGACTCTCATCTGTGACTCTACAGACCACAAGCAGAATGTATCTGCCTGGGAGCAAAGTCAAAATAGCCCTGACTCAAGGTTGCTGGCAGAGCCTGATCCAGAGGGTTGATGCAGGGAGTTCTCTGCTACTGAGATCAATATGAAACTTCCATTCTTACCTCACTACGATTATTATCCCTGCCTTCTGTAAAGCCTGCAAGGACCCTTTCACAAAGAATGTAACAGAAGTTCATTTGTTCAGGCCATGAAGATCATATGTCCCTAATGTTATCAAGATCCATCGACAAAAATGGCCACACCTTAAACAAATGTTGGTTTGACTTATTAGTACCTAGATTTGTTTTGTAGTACTGGATTGGAATTCAGCAGACTGGTGGCCTGAACTAAGGTTAATTGGGTAATAAATGAAAGAAATCATTTCAAACAAATGCAAGTTAAACATGAGGTAAAATTAATAATCTATAGTGCGAGGTGCAGCCTAACCTTACCTCAGGCCCTTGGCATTTGGTATTCTCTCAGCCTAGGACAGCAAGCAGTGCATTGGAGATTTCGTGATACTAGAATATGCTCCTGGGAACTGCTTCTCTGACTATACATATCTTACTTACATTCCAAGATCTTTTCTATACTATGATGCCAGCTCAGAGATTGGAGACCTCTCACTCTGTCATTATATATGAAAGAGTTACCCACAGCAAGCCCATAGTAAAGAGACACTGGATGAGTCAACATTATATAGCACACATACATACACAAGTACCCATTAATACATATCTAAAGGTCATAGGACTTACTCATTCAGTACTTCATTAGCCCTTACTATGAACTGGAGACAAATTGATCACTTACACCTTTTAGCTGGAGGGCAAAGGACACCCACTGGCTGTGAGAAATCGCATAAACATGAAACAGCAGAATTTTGAGCACACTCAGATTAGACATTTCATAACCCAAACAAACTATATCCAGTAACATCCTGACTGCATTTAACTACTTTTCTCTCTACAGAGTAATCCTTGCTTTGGTGTGTACAATTAAAACACAAACAGATATATAATATGGCTAGCCCATTTTTCCTTTATTGAACAAACATGGGGTCCACAGTCTTTTGTTAATTTCCTTAGAGAGAGTACTAAGCACATAGGAACACTCTATACTCTTTAGTTTAATGCTATCATTCAAACAGATCTACCCACAACCTGATGTCTACCTCTCTACCCTTTAATTCAAAATGCAATGCACCTCTTACACAAGAGTCCCCTTCTCCTTCTGCTTGCTCTAGACTGTGGTGCTGAATGTGCCTGAGTGATATTCTGTTCCTCCCCTCTTGGTACCAAGAGTTCTAAACTGTCATTTATAGGTGACTGCCCCATGTTATGCCTCCAATTCTCAATACAGTCACATTGCTTTTCACCAGTTCTGATTGATGTGGTATTTCACAAGCTCCATAGCATGACTACTGAGGAATCACTGCACTCTGTACTGTGCTCCAAAATACACAGCAACCTTGGTTCTTCAGTGAACAATGCATTTCCTCCTCCTAGTGAATGTCAGCCTCGCAGGTGTAACAGATGCCTTTGTACCAGGCTCATGCAATGGAGCACAAGATGTACTGTTTTGTTATTTTTTAAGTAAGTAATTTTTAAAATAGTTTCCTTGAGGAGGTAGTGGAAGAAGTATCAGCCTTCTGTGCCACATTCAGCTACATAGCAAGAACACAGCCAGAAGCTACATAAAATCCTGTCTCAAAACAAACAAGCAAACAAACAAACAAACAAACGCTTGTCAGTCTATAAGGCAGTATGAAATCCCAAACATATCATTAAGCAGTTTGTCCATATGCATGTCACAGCAACATATACAATCAGCCTTCCGTACTCACAGGGATGAGACTTGGCTTCTGAAGAAACAGACCCCTTAAGTCTGACATAAAAGTAAAGTCTTCACCATCCTTATGTGTGTTCGGGCAGACTTTCTTGGACATGGAAAGCAAGACTTTTCCAGGAGACCCATCAACTATCTGGAAATATCCAGAAGCTGCCTTGGCCCAACCAGCCAGGAGCTCTGAGCACCAGCTGTAACTGGTGTGAATCAAGGTCTTGATCATCAGTGGCACAGTAGAGCATCAGTGATCCAATTACTTTCTCCCTTACCCCAGGGGATAAGCTTAGTGATACATCACCTCACCACTGGCATGAAGGTTTCCAGCCTTACTTGGCCACCAGCACAGCTAAAGTTAACTGCGAATGCTTGGTATATTTTGATTCTTAAATCTCGTGCAAAGAGAGGGAACTATCATAGTTTAGATAGTTAGGTATCTTATATAGAACAGCAAACTTTGCCTCAAGGGTCTTGTCTCTGATTTCTAAGTAGCTTGGGTTAAGCAGGAAGTCTCCATGTGTCTTTGATCAATCTAGAAACCAGGCCATGAAATGGTGCAGCCTACTTTTAGTGTAAAACTTTCAAATTCAATTAATCACACATGGAAAACCTCCCATATGCATGCCAAGATCTGACTAAATTAGATAATCTCTGACATTAGCAAAACAATAAAACAGGTGGAAGCTCCATTATGTGTCATTGATATATTAACAATCTTGGGAGGGGGACTCTAGAAACTCTAGAAACTGTACAGATTTCTAATTTTTCAGAAAGAGATTTTATCATTCCAGTCTCTCAGGGTTATCTTCTAACTTTCTGCTCAGAGCATGGAACTGGACAATGTTCCTAGATCAAAATCAAATATTTTATTCATCCTTTTCTTTCTGTCCCCTGAAAACAATCTGAACCTGGTTCTTTGAGACTTCCTTCCTCCCTTCCCTTTCTTTCTTTATTTCATCCCTTCCTTCCTTCCTTCCTTCCTTTCTTATGTCCATGTATGCAGTCAAATTGGTAGAAAATTCCAACACGTGCTTAGCACCAGTTGACTTTCTGTTTAGCTGAAATGTTCTATAAATAACTGTTAGAATAATTTGGCTTATAATGTCAGATAGGTCCTGCTTTTCTTTTAGATTATGTCTACATGG